TCAAATGAGTATGCAGGTATTCTTATTAATGGATTTGAGTCAATAAAATGCTCTCTAATGGAACACGAGAATTAAAATATTTAAAGGTGAATGACTTTCGGACGGAATAATAAAATTTATGAATGACGCCATCGCTGAATGTTATATAAGTTCAGCAATGCTAAAGAATAATCTCATCCATCAAGTGATTCTTTAAATATCGTTGAGTGACGTGAATGTGAAACCATATCAATGTTATGAAGCATAAGCATCACACAAATATGTTGATTGTTGCTTTTGCTTTTATTATTTTCCACATTGAGTAGCTCCACCTCAAAGGCGTTTCATAATTTTGCTCTCACTCGTCAATGTTTCCTTCACACATCAAACACACAGCACAGCACGAAACTGAGGAGAGAAGAAAAATGTGAAGGAACGGAAAAAAAATTGAATGTGTCGCATGACATGAAAGCATCAAACATTAAATTGACAATGTTTTCCTGCTCACCAACGATTATTCTTCATTTTACTAGCTGCTGACTTGCTTTAAATTTTTTAAGGATTTTTTAAATCCTTTTAAATTGAAAGTCAGTTTAAAAAGATTCAAATTTTCGAAAACCGTTATAATTTTAAAACTCATCCAATTATTAAATTGAGTCAAATTCAGCGCAAGAAAGTCTTTAAAAATTCAAGGAAAACAATGAAAAATAAGAAGGAAAAGCATTTTCCTTTTATTTTCTGCTGTATTTGATTTGATTTGCTCCTCCTTTTCTGTCAATTTTGACATGTTTTTCATTCTTTTCTGCTCGTCTATGATGTGATGTGAAATACAGACAAGAAAAAAAGAGAAGAAAATCAGCGAAGCGTGAGAAGAAAATATCCTGCACAAATGGATATTGCTTCTGTTTTTCCACACACAGAGAAAGAAAATCGGCAACAACAACAAAAATAAAGTCGAGGAATAAGAAAAATGAAATGCCGGGGAAATGGATCAACAACAACATCATATACAGCACTGAAAGAAGAGAAAATGTGAATTTCAATGAGCATAGAATGATAGAATGGATATGCCATACATTTATGTCTTGGTATTTGTGTGCATGACTGTATTTGTCTCAGGACTTTTTCATTTTTCTTTGTGATTTTTTTGCAAGCTATGAATTTTCATTTTCATGAATTTTTCAGTCATTGAACAGCAAATCCTTCTGAGAATTTCAACTGACATCAATCAGCAGATACAGATACAGTTATTCCGATGCAGCATGAAATATGTCACATATTTGAGTGAATTATGTCTTCAGGTCAAAATAGAAAGTTTCTTTATTGTTTCTATGGAACAAAGCATTTACAACAAGGAAGTGTCCCTGATTCTTTTGTCCCTTACATGAACAACTAAGTATGAATGCAAGACTAAATGCTTTAAATTTGCACAATTCTTCAAGGACGTCTTTTTCTTGCTGACTTTCCTTTTTATCAGTACAGTAAGTGTTGATCATGTCAACTTGTTTATTTTTCCTGTTTTGAGTACAAAAAGTCAATTTGTAAAATATTTAAATTGCAATTCATTGGATATCCCACGCGATGCAATGAAATCAGTCAAAACTGTACTGAAAATAAAAAATCGAGAGCTTGAAATGATTTATGTTAATAGCTCATGATGAATAAATTTGTTTTTGCTGAACTAAAAAAATTAATCATTCGTGCATGTGCAGTGCCAGTGCCAGTGCAGAAACGTTCCCAAGTCGAACGAAAAATAAGAAGAAGAAAAAGAAGCACAAAGTCGTGTGTTGTTATAAGCAATTATAAAGAAGTCAAAAACCTGTAAAGTGACAAGAATGAAGATGGAAGCGAAGATAGAGATGGAAGGCAACAAGCACAACCGATTTGATTTCAAAATCTTCTCGCTTGAACAGAGCAGCTATGCGTGAATATTGAGTTGCGATTAATGTTCGATAATTTGACTCAGGGCTGCTCAACCTGCATGGTTCGGTCCTCTTGTTTAATTTAATTCTATCAATTTAAGCAGATCTGAGGTATTTAATAGACATGGGTCCAAAAGAGAAAAAGGTTGTGTAGGTCTGGCTTAAAGTGTCAGTGATGAAAGAGAAAAATATGAAAATTTATTCAAAAATCCAATTTGACACATTCGAGGTTTCTTCTTGTCATTATTTCTTGTCGTTTCCAGTATTTCGCGTGTCTATTTCTCGTAAAGCATTTTTCTGTTCTTTTTCTTTCCATTTGTGTCTTCAATTTCACCCAACAAGCACAGCACAAAACAAAATAATATCGATAAATAGCTGGGCTGTGTGTTTTATTGTTATAATATTCATATAGAAGTCAATGATATGAGGGAAAGAACAAGAGACAGAGACAGTTGAGGAATATTAAGAAATAAAAATAAAATGTAATGTTCATGAAATAAATTTAAAATAAAGCCTGGAATAGTGCTGTAAATAAATAAATAAAATTGTTGACACAAAAGTCTCTCACATCCAACTCATACAATCAATTTACTTTCGATTATTGAATCAATGTGTCAGTGGCTTCCATTAAGACATAAAAGGCAATAAATTGGTTTTCTTAAGCTTTTTGTGTTACGGAAAATTTCTAGCCTTAATGTCCAATTTTATGATTATTAGAACTTCTCCACATTTGTATGAGTAGAACTTGATAAATCAATAATCATCGACTTATAAGAAGATTATGCCATTTTTGATATATCAAATTTTATTCTTCAGATTATGACATTGAGCTTATTTCCATTCACATTCTCGTATTTTCAAGACTTTACTAACATGACTCACAAGGCAATCTGAATGAATGTATTGGTAACAGAAAGGCTGAATGGGGTGAATGTTCACACAAATGCGGGTTAATTCTGTGTGTTTGGCAAGAAAATCGGTCCGAAACAAAAGGAAAATTCATCCATTTCATTTCTTATGCTACACATTAATGTCAATCTATTTCATACATTTTAGTGACCCTTCATTCATTGCTGCACATTTACAATCAAAGCAATTTAAGGATACAGACATGAAATGATGGTAAAATGAGTGCTCATTTCTATGACGACGCCATATCGAATGCAATAAATCATTTGTCAAATACTGCTGCTGCTACTTCTGCTATGATGATGTTGATGTTGATGTGGATATTGAGAAATCAAAAAATGTAGAAAAAGCAGAAATTTTTGCTTCTGTTTCTGATATTTTTATTGCTTCTTAGCTCCACCTTTTGATTGCTTGATCGCAGGCGTTTTGCGAGTGGAAAAAGTTCTTTTTTTGTGTGATTTTTTCCATTTTTTCTTGTCTCTTGTCTCTGCTCAATCTCGTCTTCGTCAGTCTTGTCAATCGAGATTCACTTTAATTGAATGTGTCGCTGACTAACACTGTTGTGATAAAGCTATTAAGAGATTCATTCAGACAATCAGGTTGGGATGCAGATTCGATTATTTTATAAGCACTAAATTGAATCATAAAAGGGATTCTCAGACAAACTAGTAGAAGAGTTTTTATCATAAAAAATTCAATTGTTGTTCAGGGTGTGAAGGCATGGAAAGAAAGAGAAGCAGAAAGGAAAGTTCAAAGCACTTAAAAAGTCATAAAAATATTTTCTTCAGAAAATGCTAATCGATATTGATTTTTGGGCAATAAAACCGAGTTCAGCTGCTTTATTTCCATTGATTTTCTTACCAAGATATTTAATTAATTTTATTGAATAAAAGGCAAGAACTGAAGAATTGAAAAATGGTGGATTAAAAGGCACGGAATTAAATCTAAAAAAATATTGAAACAAAAAGATTTAAATTCTTTGATTTGCTCCACCTTTACATGTCATTGTAATCCGAAAAAGAAACAAAAATTTACAAGACCTGAACAGAGTCCAAAACTACAATTTCTCATTTAAATTGACACTTGAATAGAACGAAAATCGGAATCAAAAAGGAAAGCGAAAAAAGATTTTTTTTTTCTTCTCTCAATTCAATTAAATATCCACACACATTATCTTCTACTGTTCTGTGTTGTGTTTTGCACATTTAACTTGGACTTGCATGGACTTCTTTTTTCCTATTTTTAAGTTTTTTTTTCTTTTTTCTTTAAAATTCACAATTCGATTGTATTTGTGGAAATTTCAATGTTGAATGTGTGGCTGTGTGTGTAAATAGCATTAATACATTGACAACTGATAATCTAAAATGTTTTAATGTTTCAATGTTTCTTGCCTGTATACATCTCCCTCAACTGCCATTTCTTTCGACATTTTATTCTTCACATGTGTGTTTGCTTGTTTCATGGAGTTGAATTTTTTTCTTTTTTTTTTGATTTTGCAGCACTAAGTGAGGCCGGAAAGCATGCAGCATTTCTTATTTTTAGTCAGTGTTTTTTTGTTTGGCGAGAGAGACTTGTACTGGTCGCGCGCGCGGATTCAAAGAAAAAAAAAAGTCATCACAGGTGTACAAGACAGCTTAAAAATCCCCCAAAAAATATTTTGCTTCTGTTTTTTGAAATAATTTTTTCTAAAATGAAAATTTCTGGCAATAAAGATCCTTAATAATTTGTGTTGATTAACAAAAGAAACAAAACTTTATGTTGTGATATTAATCATGTAAGGCGCGATAACAAGTTAATTGTCATCAAAAAAAAGTAGTCAATGACATCACAACAGCCAGTGCAGTGAGACGAGATTTTCATCTATTTTTATATGAATGAGAAATGTGAAAAAAATAATAAAATTTTCTATGTTTTTGTGAATTAATTCATTAAGGAAATTTGAATTATAAAGAAAATAAGAACTTCATAGAAGAAAAAAAAAATCTTCGAGTTATTTTTAGATGAATGAAGAAAAGTAAAAACATACAAGAAAAACACACAAGAAGTGGATCTTCACTCACTAATTCATTAATTGAGAATGTAATTAATTGGTGTGAATTAATATAAAATTTGTTTGATAATTGAATCACTTAATTTGATACGAAAAAAGCAAAAGTCGTATACGAATCTATGAAAAAAAATATAAATATATTAATGTGTTATAAAATGAGAATTTTTACAAGAAATAATGGAAATAAAAATTGTGTATACAAAAATTTAATAAATAATTAATCACCTTAAATAATGAAAAACTTCTTCTGGTCACAAAGTGAAAATGGAATAAAATTTATTGAAATAATTTTCTTCAGCATAAATCAGGTAAATTCACAAATGAAATTAATTGGATTTGTACTGCTGCAACGTGTTATTAATTACTTCAAATTTGTCGTCATAAAAAATATTTTTGTGCATGTGTGAGTGAATAAAATGCAAATTTGCATGAAAAATTGTTCAATTCAATTGTTAAGCAAATTCTTTAAATAAACAAAATTCATCATTCGATGCAAGTAAGTGTGTGAATTTTATCCGGATGAAAATACATTGAGTTACAAGTGAATGTTGAGGTACCGATTGAAGATTGTGAAGTGAATGTCTATTAGCTAGAAAACAAAATGATTTGCTAGATTTCGTCTTAAATTTTGTATTTTTGAGTTGTCAGAGCTAAGTGGCATGCTGAAGAATTCTATGGAAAAATTTACCAAATCTCAAATCTCAAAGTTCATCTTTGGAATCGAAACAAAGTTGCCTGATGGATTCTATATGCCATGATAGCTGCTTGTAGGTTCCAACCTAACCTGAAAGTAAATTTTTGAGTCGCTACTAGCAATGAAGCTACTCAAGTCTATGTTTCTATATCAAATGCTATTCTAAATCTGGTTCTTATATTTTTAAGTATTAGCTGTCTGTCAAAACCGCTTTTCCTGATGCAGAATGATATCAACTGTGACTTTAGTCACTCCTATTAGCTCCTTTACTGTCATATTATGGTTAGACTGTACATTTGTGCAACTTTCAGCGAGACATTCCCGCTTTTTAAATTGCTTTTTCTTGGAAACTGCTTTAAATTTTAATCTACTCCGCTTTTTCAAACCCACAATTGTAACATGTCCTGCTTTTTGACCAAAAATCGATCGACAGTCTTCACTCTATTCATAAATCCCTAATAACCACTGCGTATCAGCTCCACATTCATTCCCAATTACCATAAATCGATCAATAATAATTCATTGATAAAAAATATCCACAAATTCCTCATTAAATTGAAACTCCATCATCTTCCACAAGTCAATCATTATAATTCCATGAAGGTTAGGTCAACATTCATGTGCTTAAATTACTACACAAAAATATATTCAATAAATATCTATGACAAGCTGAGAAAACGAGTTTTTGTGTAAATACACAACTAAAATGAATGAATTTAAAGCAAACATGTTGAGAGTCACTTAAGAAATTATTTAAGATTAAAATGTGTTCTGGTGATTTTGTGCTAAATGAATTTTTTCTTTAAGATCGCGTCAATTAATCACTCGTAATTATTGGGATTTTTGACTCATATATTTTTTTTTATCAAAACTAGGCTTACGAGCAAAGTCATTCACATGTCGTCAGCTGAGATATGCAAGATACATGCGTATTTGGGAATTGAATGATTATTTGAAATATTTTAAGTGAGTATGAGTTAGTGTCAGTGTGTAAATAGTTGGGATTCAAGCAATATTTTGAATGTTTTGAAGATTAAAGAATATTTTATTGGCAATATTAGCTTTGTTTTTGAGGAATTCTTTTCAAAGGTTGAAGGCTCCTGTTTAGATTCTATTGATACTTAAAGTTTGCAATCTGCAAAGCTTCAAAGCATCTTCCAAAAGCTTAATGGTAAGAAGATATAAACACACATCGTAAGAGCATTGGTTCGATTCCCACTCTTTATTACAAGATTGTCAGGAAGTTTACTTTTTCTGCTTAATATTCAATCTGAAGTTTCTAAAGTGTCAAAATAAAGTTTTAACATTTATTGACAGTAAACATTTTATCATTAAGTGATCTGATCCTTAACGCGCACATGAGCTTCATCTTTGAGTATAAAGTTCAAAGCTACAAAGTTTGTTTTCAATTTTAATTTCCTTTAATCCAGTAATGACCAATCTTGATGACGCGGAACTCGAATAATCCTTAAACAAATCCAAGAGGCCGTTCGAGGAAAAAGCGACTTAAAAGACCCCCTTGGAACAAAATTCATATGAAAAAATCATTTTTATGGTTTGAACCGTAACAAATTCTTAAACCTTCTTCCCTCCTAAAAATGTTACGCAATAAGTGAACAGCCCCAAATTTGCTCATTTAAAAAACTGATTTCTTTAAAAATCTGACAAAACAACGAACTAATTTAGCTTCACAAAAACGAATCACTCAATGCTTAATTTTAAAATATCCCAAAAGATTGAAGTTTGTCGTAATTGTGTCAGCACCAGAAGTGAAAAATAGATTTATTAAAAATCTAGCTCTCAAAAAATCTTTCAAGCAATAAGTTTGTCAAAAACTCATGCAAAATGCTTGAAAGTCACTCCGTCCATTTTAGTTTGAATTTCAATTTTTCACTCCCATTTCCATTAATAACTCAATCGATGATTGAAACATGTGGACGTGTCTTAAAACTTTTATAGAAAAAGAAAAAAAAAAGTCGCAAATAAGTTTTGATGGAGACAAGATAGAATGCCATTAATCTTTGTTTATTTTGTTTTAATTCAATGTGTGAATTCAAATTTTTGACAACAGAAATTTTATGTCCCATGTGACTTAAGCTTCTTTGTCCGTAAAAAGAAATCTCTTTTTTTACATTCCTTACTCAATTAATTACAATAAATTAAATTTATTTATGTCTTATGGTTAATAATGCACATGCATTTAATTGAAATTATCATCAAGTCATAGCGAGTTGTATGTGTGACAAATTTATATCTTTTTATGATACATTACGATATGGCAATGTGAACGACATGATGAGACGAGAATTGAAAAGACATGAAATATAAAAATGAGGGGAATAAAAGATGGCTGAAGACGAACACATGTGTCAATTTGAATTTTTTTTTATTTTAACTGCCTTTTTCTGTTTGCCTTTTTATTATGAATTCAATATTCAATGTATAGTCCGCTGACTGCCTGCCTGCGTGATGAATGCTAAATTATGATCGAGATGTCGTCAATTTAAATGCAAATTTGCTAATTAGCTTTAAATGCAGGCTCAATGAACGGTCAAAAAACAAGAGACGAAGATTTTGTGGCTAAGACTAAGACATGTCGTTAAAAATGGCACAAAATGGTAGCAAGAGAAGTCAACAGAGGCAGCAAGAGTGTAAATAAGAAGAGAAAAATATCAATCGAAGATCGCGTTGTCCATAGAACCAGTTTCATTATTTCCAACTCTTCTCATTTCCATAAAATTGAAATATAATCTCATAACAACAAGCATACGAGTGACTGAGAGTAACAACATCACTTTTCAGTTCCAAAATTAAATTCATGCTTCTTCTGAAAATTTATTCTTGTGACTGTGATTTTATTTCTGTGGTTGATTGCATCTTCGAGACTGGCTTATTTATGGACATGTAAATGACTCAATGTGACATGACTCAGACCGAGTAATCTTAATGGATGAGATTTATCAACTTTCTTAGTCCACAAAAGCCCATCAATCCACAAATACATGCATGTCCAGCATTAGAATGCACAGAGTCAATAAAATAAATTTATTTTCAAATTGACGATGATTAAGAAAAGGTAGAAATGAGAAAAAAAGAGGCTTGAAATCAGGAATTGACCATAAATAAGAATCTTTACCGCGAAATGTCAACCTCACTTCAATTCCATCTCCATTTCATGCATTCTCATTTCTTATTTATTTCTGTTCTTCATCTCGAACGTCCACCTAAACGAGTTTTGTACGAGATATTTTGAAGTTGCAACTTGCTGCCTTGCAATTTATTTTATCTTCATGATGTCTTCAGTGCGATGAAGTGAGGAGGAATAAGAAGAGAAATAGCAGCATTATCATGAGATGCAAAACTTCACGATAACTTCACAAACACGGAATGGCACACACAATGTTGTGTGTTCGAGGGTATGCAGAGCATATGGAAAGGAACGAGAGATAAACATGAAAGAATTGACTGCACAATTCGCGTTTTTTACTCTTTATTTTTTGTTTTTGTTGGTGCTGCTCGGTCGACATCTTCTTGTCGATGTAAAATAATAATTTACATGGCAGTTGAAAATGTGCAGCTACAGAAATTTTTTAATTTTATTTGTTGAGTGTCAATGAATTAATATTAAGAAGAAGGCATCGCTGATTGAGATTCTGATCGGTGATAAGGCTGCAGATTTAAATTAAATGTATTCACAAATTCTGAGTCTTAGGACTTTAAAAATGGATCTCCATAAGTGAAAATATTGAGCATCAGTAATAAATCATTCTCACATATGCACACAAATACATCCACAAGATGTGAATGAGAATGATCGAAGCTCTTTTCAATTTATTCATCCAGATACATTTGTATGTGAGGAATTTCTCATAAATCTTTCCATCTTCTTTACTTCATTCTTCTTCATTATTATTTTTTACTTCTTCGTCGCCCTCGTCTTGATTCCAGTCTTTAAAGTATAAAGAATAATGTTAAGTGAAGTAAAGAAGGAAAATAAGTAGAAGAATTTATAATGATCTGATTGGGTGATTGAATTTCAATATTAACGACCAATCGGACAGTTTATCTCTCACTATTGCTCAAACATGCATGAATTATAAATTTCATAGTGAGATACACTGCATGACATGAGAAATCATGAAAATGATGAAAATGTATGCATCTTGGACTTTAAATCTTGATTTGGATCGTTTCCATTTCCATAAATCAGCCAAAAATGTTCCTCACAGTCAGAGGAAATGATCATGTTCCATTCGAGTTTAGAAAGAATCAGAATCGATTGAATTTTAATGGAAATTTCTCATAAAAACAACATCTGATTGATAGAAAGGCTTAAGTGATCTGAATTAAATATTTTGATGATATCAGGTCCAAATCACATCCAATTAGCATGTTGATCAAAAAAGTTAAAAAGCTCAAGAATGGAAGAAGTTGTAGCTACATTGAAATCACTTGTAAAGTTCATTTGTAATTCACCACACATGAGCAATTCTTATTTGATGTTCTATGTGTCTGAGTAACTTACCTTCTCATTTCTTTATGTTCGTCATTTTCTGCAGAACATGAAATTGATTACTGGATGCATGCAGGCAGGCATTGCTTATAACTTGAAAG